TGGCTATGACCTGTTCCGCCTTCAGGCTTACCCACCCTCCTCCATCGTTTCTGATATGCTTTGCCCTAGCAGGGTTATGCTGCTGGCCTCATTCCTTCCTGTCAGGCTAGTGCCAGCTAATTGTACTTCATTTGCCTCATATATTTTGGTCACACATACGTACATATGCATATTTGCATTCACCATATGCCTGAACAATAAATGTCCATTCCTTGTGCTATATATGTATGTATATACTTCCTCTTAGGTATCTATATTTCCGTTTAGATAACAATACATTTCTGTACTATTAATTGATGAGTTTTTAATTGATTTTCCATCCGAAAAATGACCAAAATTTGCATTGATATAATTGCATGCCACTTTAGTTGTAGAGCTGAGTAGATAACTATTGTGCACGTTTCCATTTTGTCCGCAAACTTGCAATCTATGAACCAAGTGGTGATTTGAAAATAATTTGTGTGCCTGAAATTTTCATTAAAATGCTGGTCTTGCAAAATTTTTGAAATTTTAGTATATTCGATTTTTCATGTATCTGTCTTTCAATTATTTTTTTTTGAGAACAATATTTGTGTTTAAGAGCAGATACAATTTAAAAGCTACTTGGATACCGGCCCCTATTTTATACGCCTTTTTCAAATTTTAAAATCTAATTTTTTTTTTAAGGGATTGAGAGGCATTTCTAGTCAACGTGAATATACTTAAAAATAAACGAGATGGCAGTATAGAGAAAATTGTTGAACAAAAACAACTGCAGTCCACTCTGTACTCATCCAAGGCACGCAAAAAAACTTGGCGTTTGCCAAATGTCAGGATTTATTTAATTAGTTTTATAAGATATGCAGACAAAATGAATGAGGCTATTCACTTACGCTCGAAAAAGCCTCGTAATTTAACTGAATGTGTGGACCTTTGAAAAATTCTTTCGGGATTTCTAGCTCTTCGCATTCAGGAGAAACATAAATACATATATCCAGAGATTCCTACCCACAAGTAGATTTCGTGAACTGAAGGCTTGAAAATTTTTTGAAAAATTAATTAAAAATCGAGTTTCGAGGCTTTAACAATTTTAAAAGAATGCCTCTAACAATAAACAAATCTCAATTGGACTCAAACACCCCTCAAAGTGTAATTCCTTTGTTCTGTTATTTTGAATTGCAGCAGCACTACTAAATAAGTGGCCATAAATGAGACGTTCTGAAACAAAAAAGGGATCGCTTTCAATATCAGTTCACAATATAGGGAAAATCATCTTCAACAAACTCACCGATGTTATCAACTCTCTATTAATATTCGCATAGCCATCCAAATTCATTATAGGCGGATTCTTTGTTATCGCCATTAGAAACATTTCCACCTCCTTTTGTGTGGCGCTGTCCACCACGGTAAGGTCTACATTCAACAGCTTAGTTTGAAAGTCCAAACCCACACTTTGTGTGGCATAATGTGCCTCATTGCAAATGATGTAGAGTAGACTCATGCAATAGAAAACTATGAGGAAAAGACCAACTTCCTTATACGTAGCGCCATGATCCATAATTTCGCTGAAGGAACCATATGTGGCAATGATCGTGGTAAAGAAAACGACTAGGCAATACATGCCATACATGTTGGAGTAGGCGCGACCTGGTGGGATGAAAAAAAAACACATGCTTGGAAAAGGTAGAAAAGAAAGGTTGAAAAAGCTCAACGCAGCTTTCCATAGATTACCGCAAGCCGATCAGAGTAAGCGAATAATCAACTAAAAAAGGTTTGAGGTTTGATCAATACAAAATCAAATAGATAATGAACTCTAGTAGGTAAGGGAAGTTTAGTTTAGAACTCTACGTAGTTCCTGCATATAAGGTGGATTAATTGAACCTTGGTGTGGAGATATGAGTAACTTTTCCTCAAGTGCATTTTGTCAACCAGAAGTGCCGTCCTCAGGAACCTCTTCGGATTGCTCTTCAGACAAAATATAATATTTTTTAAGATTTTCGTAATTTTATTGCCATTTGTGACTGATTTTTTGAGCGAGAAGAAGCACATTTCTTTTCATGATGAGAAAAAAAAACACTATAATAAATAAACTAACAAAACAGTTCCCAAATTTTAAACCTACGGGGTAAAAATAGTGGGATTCCTTCTTTCGAGGCAGAGATCACCAAGAACAGAATGTTTCTCCTAATCTATAGTTCCTCTGCGAAGAAGTTCTATAGTCTTAGCGGTATGCTGTTCTTCTTTAGCAATAAATTTTTAAAAATTTAATTAAATTAAAAGAACGCATCTACAATTTTTTTATTTTTGAAACAATAATAATAATAATAATAAAAAAAATAGAAAAAAATAATAATAAAAAGCCAAAATAAATAAAAAAAAATTTAAAAATTAAATGAAATTTAAATAATTTTTTGGTCTTCTTAAAACAACAAAATCTAAAAATTAAATTAGAAAAAGATTAAATAAAAAAAAGAAAATAGTAAATAAAAATTTAATAAAATTTAAAAAACATATTTTTTTCTAAAAACTAAAAGAAAATTAATTTGAAAAAATGGAATCAAAAAAGGAAAAAAAATAAATAAAATAAGTTTCTAAAAATTTGATTTAATAAAAAAATGTTTTCTTTGAAACAATAAAATCTCAAAATTTAAAGAAAATTAAATTAAAAACGAAAAAAATGTTAGTTAAGAAAAAAAAGTTCCGCTGCCCGAGGTCTCGAACTTGTATCTTTCGAAAGACACGTCTGTACTTTCGACTGTTGGATCGACGCGAGCTGAATGATAATCAAGTGCTTTCTTTCATAATAGCATTTCACCACGAGAGATGATGTGCTATAAAAAAAGTCTTTCGAACTATCTTGCCATCTGTCTTTCATTTGTCTTACGAAAGACAGATCTTAGCCATAATTGCCCTTTTAAGCTAAATTGTGAAAACGGAGAGGTGGAATGGTATCAGTCCAGAATGCTTACGTAACAAAATCTGCAATCTTGCCATGTGCAAACCGCGTCAATCTGGTCTAATTGCTGGTGGCTTAGGGCTTCTAAAAAGGTCTACTGGAATAAATTACATTTAGACGCTTAGAGCTTAAGTGAGAGAAGAAGGAAGCATAATCGCTGTGAAACATGGATGTAGATAACATAAGCTAAGCGAATAAAGTCAGCAAACAGCGCATAGAGCCAGCTCAATGCCATGCGGGGTACAGCACCAGCGGACACCAGAAGTAGTCAGCGAAAGCAACAGGACCATTTACCATTGCATCTACCGGCGGTCAAGAGTCATCTCACACTTGCTGAGACCAATCGGACGACCGTCCAGTGCTTCTACCGGTCACTACTAGTACTCTTAACGTTGCCAGAAAACGCTGGGCGATCCACCAGTACATCCGCCGGTCGCCTCCGGTAGTCTAACCATTGTAAGGAACCAAAAGGACACCCACTCGTCGTCCACAGATGCCGGCATCAGTTAACATCACCGATTGTCCATCGATACCCTAAACAGTCACCGCTGCTCGCCATCTACGTCTCCATCACCGCTGTTATCGCTCCTGCTGTTAGTCTCATATCGCTCACCAGTATCTCTCTGGCCTCCGAAACGTTAGGCCGCCAGTCCCGCGTTAATACATTGAAGTACAGTGTTTTATTTTGTGGGGGCGACTTCCTATCGTTCCTGAATTGGCTAGGCATTCCCATAGCACCCGACTAATGATATCTCATTCACTCCATTTATTTTGGTTCATCAACCAACGAGACATAACGCATAGAAAAACAATTTAAGCTTAAAGCCGGAACTTTTTGGACCTAGTACTTCATAGGCTGGAGTCCTTCCCTATTTCAGAGCATCATGCTTAGGTGCATAATAGAAGACACCATCAACTTCTGACTTAAAAGGAAATTTTTAAACACTGTTTGGGAAGTGCATATTTGTAAGCCAAGAAACGAAATCATAATTACTCAGGCTTATGTCTTGCATACTTACACTAAAAGGGAGAGAGCACTGAGATTGTATTTGTTTTGGAAATTTTATATTTTAAAGTTGAAGAGAGTCTAGAAAAGTGGCTATTAACTTACTGAAGATTTGAAAAGTTATTCATCAGAGGATTTTTAAGCGTCATGGGCGACAGGTTCAGGGCTTTGTGCGTATACAGAAAAAAATTTTGTAGGGGATGGCTTTAATGAGAAGGAGTTTGACGTTAAAAAAATATTGAAATATGGCCGTAAGAAGGATAAATATTTATATAGAGAAAAAGGCATACGTTTTCTCTGATTACCAGATTTAGACCTTATGCTGTCTAGGCTACTTAACGGAAAAATGGAATAAAAACCTTGATTGCGAATTTTGCAATTTCAGATACTGGGTGCGTCGATATTTCCTCGGCTTACCTAGTTGTTGCATCATGTGACTCAGGTCAACCCAAAGATGACGATACTCTGTGAGCTTCTTGGCCGGCTTATCACTCATTAGAGTCATCTCGAGCGAAGCGGAGAGAGCGCGACTAGCGGTGCCGAATGCTGTGCAGTTTATATACCTAGAAGATGAAGATTAAAGAAACGAAAGAAAACTTGACTTCCACTAGCGCCGCAGTAACTACTCACCACAAGCTGCAGAAACCATTCAACATCGCTATGATCGGATAGTAGGCGAAAGTGTACCACAGCTTAAAATCCGGCTGAAGGTAATACTGCGATAGATTTATAGCAATGCTGACACCCCACGAAAAGAAACACAGACCCCAGGTGAGCGGATACAAGTTGGGAAACACAATCGGCGAACCGGTTACTTTCAAGAATTTCAACTGATAATTCGTCCACATATTCTTGAAGATCGCAACTTGCGGTCCGTGACGCCAACTCGCGACCGGCAGTAAGAAGTTCGTGAATAGCAAACTGATGAAAATCACATTGTAGATGGCCTCATCGAAGCGACGATCCGTGTCGTTGAGAAAAGTGTTAACACGCTCACGCAAAACCATTACCACCACAGTCGTCTGCACGGAGAATACAAATATCGCCCAAAAGACCTGCTTGGAGGTCCACGAATAGCCAGTGCGTGGCATGTGCGATTTCTGCGGATTGCGATGTATGGGCATGACGCCCATTATTTGGAACAGCACCAGCAGACTCTTGGTGGTGTGATAGAAGGAATCGTGCTTGTCCAACAATACTGGATCGTCGATGTCCTCGAATTTGCGCACAAACAAATCAGTGCTAATCGTATTGTGTTCAGCGAGTATTTCCAATTTCTCGCGATAGAGTAGCTCATCCTCGAGAAATTCGCGTTGATTAGGATTGAGTACGGGCGTAATTTTCATAGGCGGCGATTGGCTTTTGCGTGTTGCAATTGCCCAGTAGGCCATGGTTGTAGGAATTGGGGATAGCAAGGAGGATTTCGCGGCGTTGGAAAATTCACTAAACGGTTGTAGCGCACTAGTAACTGTATTGACTTTTGATTTTCTTTCAACTCAAAAGTCTGCCACACTCAGCTCCCAACTGGTTTCGAAATTCACCAAAGCTGCTTTTATATCTGCGGTGAATACTTTAGCTTATTGACTTTCTTTTAAATTTTGCATTTTCTTTCGGAAACTTTGTTTCGAAATTCATTAGTTTTGTTGTTGTTGTAAGCTACTTAATTATTCACACCTGCAAATAAGAATGACAGTATGAATGAAAGTTTATTTTATATTTGCTTTTCTGATAACAAAAGTTTTATAATTCACACTTAGTTTTATTTTGAAAGCAAAACGCTGCAACCGTTTCAGGAGCGCATTCAGGAATGTGAATGATAATCGGAAAGAGCTGCGGCCACAAGACTACTTAGATCGCCCGCAGTCAATCAGCGGACAGAAAGACTTAATTTGCACGTAGGGTTTTCGCACAACGCGCGCACGAAGAAAGCGTTAGCTCAATTACCTCTAAATATTTTTTTATAAAAAAAAAATAAAAATAAAACAGCGGTATATTTTTTTCGGTATAGAACAATTCCGACTTTACTTTTTGTACCACCCTAATAAACATTTATCAGTACGTAGATACATGGAAACATCGTCAGCATATGCTTCCATACATACACACATTTGTGTCTAAGAAGTTCTACATACTTTTGTATGTAACTATTTGATATAAAAGTCAAAATTCAACAGAAGCTACTATCTTACTTAGGGTTCATAATTTCCATGCACCAGCTAAGTTGTAAAACTCTGCTGCATGATGAATGTTGCAACAATGCCTTGATGCACACAGAGTATTTATGTAAGTATGTACGTACATACGTATTAACATATCACACCCATATTTGACAGATCACGTTATTAATGAGCTATCTTTGCGCATGTGAAATGAATTAGTTTTGATGAAGAAGAAGAAGAGAAAGTACTTACTACAACAAAATTAAAGTCAACTATAGAGCAGGAAACCCCCTTTCCATAACTGAAGTGTGAGATAAGGCACTGCATATGAAGTCGCCTTGCAACTTTTGTGGTTGTCTATGATTTGTGGCTGTCTATGATTTGTGGCATAGGAGTTGACGCTTGACATATGGGACTTTTCGATTGCAAGTATACGTATGTATGTATACAAGGCTGTTCGGTTGATTTCGACAACCTAACACACAGAAAATTGTGACAATCTTTGTATTGGCATTAGATTGACACTGTATTTGCTGAATTAAATTTAATTTTGATGAACCATTTAATTCATATATTTCAAGTAGATTAAGCACAATCTGTATTAAGGTAAACATAAGCTTTTGATGGTATTAATTAAGTTGAAGTCTGCGGTAAGCTGAAGGTATGACTTTTGTCTTTAGGATAGCATTCAGCAATACAAAATCTTTGTGTATTGGCTAGTATTGGGTCGCTGAACGAAAATCTAAAAGTAGCATTTTAGGGCTTTCCTTTGCGATCTTAGATTCGATTTAAAGATCTCAAATCTATACAAATTGATTAGTCTCGATATAGAGAATTACCTTGTTTAAGATATTGTGTCTTCTATAATTCGAAGACTTAATATGAAGAGCTTTTCTGTTGTTGCACTAACAGCATAAAATATTCTGCAAAAAGTCTAATGGCATGCTTTTGAAATGACACTGTTGGACCAGAAATAAGTCGGTCGTTTCGGTGGCGTAGAGCCGACTTTCGTAAACGCTTTGCTCTTTAGTCAGTTGCTCTCCGATTTCGTGGCGGGATGGAACACATCCTGTTTAATAAAGCGCCGCTGCAATCGAAGTGTTGTCCAACATTATAGTATTATTTTTTATCACTTTTCCGTTGCACCTCTGTTTAATTTCCTCAACCTCAACACTAGATTTTGCATAAGCAAGTATCGCCGGTCTTGTCGTGCTATTTTTTCAGGTTCTTAGAAGTTCGTAATTGGTAAAGAATAAAGCCCTTTTTCTCACCACGAGTTATGTAGAAGATGCTTTGCTAACGGCGAAACCGATAAATCACTGCTTGCCCCTAGCGTAGCCACATCAGACTCAACTCCCCAGTTACTGGTTGAGGATTTTTTTGTTGCAAGGTTTGGTGAGCTCAAGATTTCGGTCCGGTTCAAATGGTTTGAATGTGATCTAAGACCAGTTTCGGGGCTTCCAATAGTCGACCCGAGGAGGTAACTACTCTACTTAGGAGGTAGCTTCTTTATAAAAAATGCCACAATGTCCATCCACGCACGAAACAAGCTCCACATTTTTTACAGACAACGGATGCAGAACTAAGGTGTTTGCGTAGGATTTAAAGAGTTGCATTGTGGGCATGCTATGACATAGAGTGCGCGGGAGGTATTTCGAGTCTACCTGCCGTTTTAAAACGCCCCAGCTATCTCCGTTTACTCGTTCTCGTTTCGTTGGTTGGACAATTGGACAATCCTTTCATGAGATGATGCGGATGACCAAGTTTTCGGGAGTGGGCCAAGTGGGTAGGTCTTTTCAGCGATATGTCTTTTCGTTACCGCGTTTATAAACATATCTATTTTCGTCGTCGCGACAAGAGTCTACAATTTTACCTTTTAGCTAAGGAAGGAACTTGGTCAAAGACTATCTGGATGTGAGATGAGCCATTTTGTGTGATTGACATATTCACGTTCAAAAGACTAATAAGTTACTAGTTATGAACTTAGAGCAAACATCGTGTTCCACAACGAACGGGCGATAATTTTAAGTTTACGTTCAATAAAAGGCGAGGAGCGACATATTCTTCTACTGTAGTGCCAAGATAATTTTCCAGCAGGGTTGCCACATATTTAAAAAATTTGCTTGAATTAAACTCTTTAATGTATTTACAGATTTCGATGTGGTTATCAGCCGAAACTGTTTAAGCCTGGGAAAAATTGCAAAATAATTTTAACTAAAGAGAGTTGCCACCTGATTAAAAGCAAAAATTATCTGGTCCATATGAAAGTTGAATAATATTTACAATATAGGGATAAAAAACTGCCGTACTAGAATTGTATCCGAAAATATTTTAGAAAAGGTTTAATTTTTTTACTATACATATTAAAATATAGTAAAATTTCAAAATACGAAAACAAGGCATAAAATTGCCTAACATCTGTAGACCAGATCCGTTTGTCCAGGTTTTAAATTTTTGGGAATTAATACAAGGCAAAGTTGAACCCAAACTTTACCAAAATGTCGAGAAAATATCAAAAGGCACCAAAACAAAGTACCAACAAGTGCCGGAAGTCAATAGAAAATGCCGAAATTGTTTTAAAAAATTTCGCGGAAATTGCGAAAAAAATCTGAAAAGCCTTAGAAAATACCTGATTTAACTTTAGCATTTTTTAGACCGCAACAGCTTACAACCTTCATCAAATCAACAGCTGAAAAAGTCGATAACCAACAACATCATGTCGGCTACAAAATAGCTGCCGGCTATTTATTCGCTAGCAATAGGCAATTAAAAGCTTTAGTGCTAAAGTGATGAGCATGAGGCTGCAGTTGCAATCATAAATAGCCGAAAACCACCCCTACACTTCCCAGAGCTGTTGCTGCCCTCAGCACTAGCTTATGCCAACTCCCGAGACGGCAGTGGATGATAAAAAAGGAAAAGAAAAAAAAACGCCAAAAATGCCATGCCTGCTGTGGCATGCGCAAGAGGCACGCGAAATGCAAGAAGTTTTCCGAAAATGAAATAAAAAGAGTAGGCAGTGATGGCGCAACTCGGCAACTTTTGTGGAGGAGAGGCGAAGATGAGTAAAGACAAAGGCAAGTGAATGTGCAAAAATAGAAGAAAAACGCCGGCCGGCTTGCGTACTGACAAAAACAACAGTTACCTACATCTCCTTACTAAAAAACAACAACAAGGCCGACAGTAACAAGTTAACTGCCGAAGGCATCAATGCAATTACAACAAAGCTACTCTTGTTCAAAAATGCCTTGGAGCTAACAGACTTAGCTGCTGTGGCGGCGAATCGAATAGCACGAAAAGTGTTAACAGATTTTTGTTGTCGCAAAACAAAGACAAAAAGCAGAGTTAAAAAAAACACAAAAACCAGAGATGTGTAGTTATGTGTCAAGTAGAAACTTGCATTCATATTAACAGGCAAGCGGCACCCAGCTGCAGCTGAAGAGGCGCCAAATGCACCAAAGCGCGCCCTCGATGCCCGATGACATCATAACGTGCATATGTACGTGCGTGTGTGTGTGTGAATGTGTGCCAACAGTAAATGGGTGAATGCTTGACTGTCGCGCTTGCGCAATCAATGCTGCCAGCCACACAGCATCTTCAGCCTGACCCGGAGCTTAATATACATTCAAAAGTATAAGTATGTACAAGGGGACTTACACAAGTTCGGTAAATTCATGATATTGCAAGTGGTTTTGAAAAATCTAAAAAAGATACATGTTTTTTAGTAATCTTACTTTTCAATTAAAATGTTAGAGAAATTGGNCTTACGTAAGTTAAGTTAAGTCTAGATTAACTAAGCCCTAAGTGGTTTTTTACAGGCAACTTACCGAACTTTTGTTAGCGCCCTCGTATATGTATGTATGTATGTACGTATGTATTTAAGTATATGGGGCATTTCACCTCAAGTGACCCAACTTTTGAAATCTATGTCTTCCGATCGGGATGAAATTTGCACCAAGGTTAGTCCTAAAAAATAGTAGTTATGACACAAAATTTCAATTGGATCGGTCAAACACACTCCGAGTTGGAGGGTCTTGAATTTTGACATTTTGGTCAAACGGCCATTTTTTCGGATCCATATAACTAATTACCTATTGTATTTAGAAAA